GGCTCACAAAAGACTGGGACCATGTCTGTTTCCTGCCTGCCATTGCCATGTAGAATCCTCATGATGGTTCCTGCCCCATCCCCCACACCACTTTGCTCCACCCCCACTTACCCTGCTCAGGCTTGTACAGTGGTTCCTCTTCTGAGTGCCTGTTCTTGCTGCTCTTCTACCTAGAACACACCTCCCACTGGACTTCCTGGAGGGCCTTCCTCATTCTTGGCTCCCATGTGACTTTCTTCAGATACATGCCAGGAACGCTTGTATGTTTTCTTGTCACCTTGATCTCGTCATGAGAAGAGACAAGGTGACCCCATCTCTGACCCTGGTGCCAGCATGTTATGCGTAGTAGATGCTCAGATGACATGGACTAAGGACATGCAGAAAAAGCCATGGAGAAGGTGTTAGAAGAGGAGGTAGCAACAGTTTCATGGGCTATGAAGGTTTAGCACACACCAGGCTGGGGCACACACCGGGTGTGAAGTCACTAGAGCAGCAGCAGCAGCCACAGTGCAGCACAGCCCCCTCCCACATATGTCTCCCACCCTTTCCCCCAGATCTAGGCGTGGTCTGTTCTCACCTGGTTCAGCTGTCACCCTACACGTCCATCACTCCATTAGAGCCAGGTGTGGGCTCCTCCCATGGTTCCCATGGAGGGCTTTCAGGGCTGCATTTCCAGCAGCAGCAGCAGCCAGTTCCAGTCCATACTTTCATAGCAGTGGCTGGGTTATGAGGTGCTTGGCATGCGTCCTTGCTGTGCACAGGCCAGCACACCCTGTTTTCTCATGTTGATTTGAAAACAGGGTGGGACTCATTTGAACAAGAGCATGAGCCTCTGCCCTAGGAACATTTCCAAAGATGGATTTTACTGGAGCCCAGGGTAAAGAGAAGAAGTTGAAGTATAGATGGAGGGTGCCAATTGTAGCACTCATTACCTGCCATACCCCTTCATGGGTCAGCTATTTGTCAGTGCCTGTCTCCTGGTAGCCTTTGCAGGCTATGTGCCATGGTTCCTCAGGGCACCAAGAGAAACAGGTTCCTTCCTCCAGATAGCTCTGGGCTGAACACATCTGTGTGGTCCTTCTCTAGATACTTCTCCCTATGTGCTTTGTCTTCTCTTATGAGCAGGGGCTCTTTCCTGGTGGCCTGTCTTCTGTACCAACTAGATCTGCTGGTATGATCTAGTATCATGTATCTGATTTCTTCTGTCTTTCTTTTTTGTTTGTTTTAATTAAGATTATTATTTCTTTAACATTTATTTAGTTTTTTTGTGAAAAATACAAGTACCTTGAAGGGGCACACACTACAGTCCTCACAGCCTCCTCAACCAACCAGGAACATGGACATGCACCTACTGTGTACAGTTCTGCTAGGGAGCTAAACCCACAGTCTTCCACACAGATCCGGCACCCCTTAAGCGCAGTGTTACTGCTATGCCACCAAGCCAGCCCTCGCCTACTATTCTCAGGTGTCAGCATCTCTGCCATTGGCATTGATTGGCAGGCCCTGGGAAACTAAACCATAGCAGGCTCATTCCTATCCTGGAGCTGCTGTCCTACTCTGGCCAGCCTCTACTGCCCTGTGCTCTGGGCTGGGAAACCCCAGTCTCTGGACAGAGCTCTGCCCCTAGCTTGCATTCCGTGGGCCCATGCTTAGCTCATCATGTCTAGCAGCACTGCTGGGCTCTGAGCTGCTGCAGGATGGGTGTCAAGGGCCAGATTACATGCACACTGTGGAAGCCCAACACAGCTTGCCTCTTGGAGACCACCTCTTTTACAGTGTTTTTGTTGTTGTTTTTTTGAGAGGTTTATGCCTTAGGGCACATGCACTTGCCAGAGAGTCAGTGAGAGGGAAAGTGAGAAATCACCCCTAGGAGATGGCCACACTGCAGTCCCTTCTCCATTCTCTTCTTGAGATCTTGGGCACAGACACACACATGCCTAGTGTGATTTTCAAGCTACTAGATCTGAGACTCGAACCACAGTTGGCCATGTGGGTATCCAGCGACGTAACCTCTATGCCATCTAATGGTCCCTTTCACAGTGTTGTTGTTTTGTTTGCTTGTTTTTTAAGAATTATTTTCTTATTTAACTTTATTTATTTTACTTTGACTAGAAAAGGACAGCATGAGAGAGAGAGACAAAGTGAGAAAGCAAGCCGCCAGGTCTGGGACTTGAACTTTAGTCAGCCATGTGGAAGTCCAGTGCCCTTAACCACCACGCCACCTACTGGCCTCTCTTTTCACAGTGTTCTTAAGTACGTTTGTTTTGGTTGGGGATCTTCCAGGGCCTTGATTTAATAAAATTTATTGTATTACTATGTTTCTGGGGCACAGCTCTAAGTCAGAATCTTCTCCAGAATCTTGGCAATAATTAGTCTTTTTTTAGAAGTATTTATTTATTTTATTTTATTTATTCATTTATTTATTTTTTAAATTTTGATCAGGAAGAGACACAGAGAGAGAGGGAGGGAGAGAGAGAGCCATCCACCAGGTCCCAGGGCGGGAGAGAGAGAGAGGGAAAGCAAGCCATCAGGTCTGGAACTCGAATCGCAAGTTGGTCATGTGGGAGTGTCTAGTGCCTTAACCACCACACCACCTGCTGGTCCTGGCAATAATTGGTCTTACAGGAGAAAGTATAGCCCCAGTATCACCCCAATAGAGTTAAGACTCCATTAGGTAGAAACATCCCACAGGCACGTGTCTATAAGGACCCAGACCTGGTTGATTGGATGTTGTTTTTTTGTTTGCTTGTTTTTTATTTTTTAATTTTAGATTTTTATGATAGGGCATGTGTGCTCACCAGAAAGAGAATGTGAGAGGGAAAATGAGAAATCAGCTCCCTAGGAGGGCTGACCACAGCACAACCCCTTCTCCTCCCTTCTCTTGGGATTTGGGGCATGCATATACACATGCCCAGTGTAATTTTTAAGCCACCAGGTCTGGGGCTTTAACTGCAGTCAGCTGTGTGAGAATCCAGCGCCTTAACCACCATGCTACCTGCTGGTCCCACCTGATTGGTGATTTGAACCAAGTCTCTGTTGTGCACTGCCCCTGTGGTTTCTACTGCCATACACCACTGTAAATCTGTTTGTTGGAAGATTCCTAAACTCAGAAGGGCCTGCTCACCCACCCTTTTGGCTTTGTGGAAGGCAAGGCTGACACATTCCCGAGAGTGGCAGCCATCCAAGGTGCCCACAGTGTGGATTTTTCCTTGCTTCTCTTTTTGGGTACTTCAGGTTCAGAACTATGTAGGCATGTTGTCTTATCAAGTTCACATATCCAATAGTCAGATGAGCATTTCACAAGGTTCCAGGTAGGAAGTCATTGTAGAGCTACACTGCATGTTTGCCTGCCCCCATCCCTAGAGCTTCGTCCCTCACAACAAGCCTAGGGTCATCGGAGTTAAGAGCTTACTGGGCTTGCTCTGTGTTGCCCACAGTTGCTGTTTGGCTGAGCTCTTGGGGGGCAGTGGGAGTTGTGGTAGGCACATGAGGATAGATGGAACCTAGGGTACTGGCTACAGGGCCTGCTCATGTTTGTTCCAGGGCGCTCTTTACCTATGAAGGCAACAGCAATGACATCCGTGTGGCTGGCACAGGCGGTGAGTATAACCCAAGGTGGGCTCTTGGGCAGCAGGAAGTCGGGAGAGGATGGGGCTATGGCAGTAGTGGCCTATCTTGGCTGCATCTCAACACTGGCAGTGGGAGGACAGGTCCTCAGGCACAGGCATTCCCTGTATATGGTTTGGCTATAGTAACACCTCTGTAGCCTCCTGCAGCCGTGGCCATGTCAGCTCCCTGTAGGTCTCCTGGTCCCTTGATCTGGTGTAACCAGCAGCAGGCAGGACCAGGCAGGGCCCTTAGCTGTCCTGGTCCATTGACCAGCTCATTGACTAGAGACTGGCTCTGGTTCCAGGTACTTGAATGAAAACACCCCTCTTGGGATTCCTCCCCATATCTGGGTGGGGAGAGGTGGGGCACAGACTGCCTTCTGGGTCTGAGGCAGCTGTTGTGGTCCCAGTGCTGGTGATGGCCCCTTGGCCTCTGTTCTGTCCTGGCCTGGCCAAGTGTACACAGGGAACCCACCTCCCTGGGGAGAGTAGTGTTGCTACAGAGCATCAGAGGGCTTGCTGTTGGGGGGAGGGGCTGGTTCCTGCAGGAGGGACAGGTTCTCGGTTGACACCAGGCAAGGTGGTGCAGTAGACTGGGATGGATCCCGTGTGGTGTAGATATGGCCCCAGCCAATCCCCCTCACGCCTTCCCATGCTCAAGGCCTGCTCATCTCTCCTTCGAGGCTCACCTATCCCCTCCCTCTGTCCATGAGGCTTGGGGTGTGACCTCTGCTTGGACAAACAAAAATGGCCTCAGTGATCATTATTGATATTTCTGTCAATTCCTTCCTCTCATGAGTGCTTCTTCCTGGTAAGTCCTCTTTCTGGAAGGATAGTGGTCTCATGTTGGCGTGGTAATACCTGGCGGGTGCAAACATCAGCCACCTGAACTTCTGCCTACCACCCTGGGCCCAGGGCAGGGCTCTGTGGAAGTGCAACAAGTGGAACTTGTGGCTGCTTTCGATTCTGGGTGCCTAGTCCTGAACTTAGGTGTCAGGTAGAATGGATTGGGCACCCTCATGGGCCCTGTGGCCCTCCTCAGTGCATGCATCTGAAGGCTGGGCCCACTGTGTGACTGCTAGAACTCTACCCAGCCTGACTCTTTGGGTGGGCCTGCAGTTCTCTGTGGGGTTCACTATCAGGAAGTCTAGTTTCTAGTTCGTAGTGGAAATGACATTTATTTTTGTTCCCAGAATCACCTGTGTGTTTAGAGAAGTGGTTTTTTTTTTTCTTCTTTTTTTCTTTTTTTCTCAATTTGCTATAGGGTGAGTAGACTCACTGGCGGGAGAGAAGCGGGGAAGTGAGAAAGCATCCCCCAAGGGGGATAGCCAGACTGTAGTCTCTTCCTTCATTCTCCTTTTGGGATTTTGGGAACAAGCATACATGTACCTGCTTTTTTTTGTACCTGCTTGTTTTCAAGCCATGGAGTCTGGGACTCAAACTGTGCAGTCATCCATGTGGGATCCAGCCACCACTGTGCCACCAGCTGGCCTTAGAAGAGTGTTTCTTAAGCTATAGTGTGAGTCATACTCCCCCAACTCTCATAGATCACTTTGTGGGGTGGGCCTGGTGCCTGGTTTTAGATATGGCCCTGTACTCCTCTGTGCTGGTGGGGTGAGAAGCCTGGTGGAGAGACGGCAGGCTCTTGGCCTGGAAAATGGTGGCCCTGTCACCCACTCCCTACCCCTAAACCTGTAACTGCTACAGAGGGTGGCCTGGAGGAACTGGTGGAAGAGCTCAGCAGCGGGAAGGTGATGTATGCATTCTGCAGAGTGAAGGACCCCAACTCCGGCCTGCCCAAGTTCGTCCTTATCAATTGGGTATGTGGCACCTGGTTGAGGCAGGCGTGACCAGCACCCAGTCTTTCTCCTGCCTTGACCCAACTCTAGGAGCAGGGCATTTGGCACAATTTTGTGGGTCAGTTCTGGTGAATGGGTAGAATGGTTGATTAATAGAATAAATGTAGTCTTGCCATACGGAATTTCCTCCAAATCCAGTTATTTCTGCAAAACGGAAGACAGACCCAGGAATTCTCACCCCGTCCCCTCAGGGTGGTTGTCCTTGCAGTGCAGAGGCCCAGGAGGAGTCTAGAGATGGGCAAGGGCTACAGCAGAGCAACACCCCACCATGGGACAGGGAATTCCCTTGACAGTGGGAGCAGCTGTCAGCTTGCCCAGAGGGTATCCTCAGGCCCCTCTGTCATGAGGGAACTTGCTTGTCTGTGTGACACACCCTTGGGAGAGTGGCTTCTGCTTAAGTGGTTCTGTTTCCCTCCTCTGGGACTTAGGGATGCTGCTGGATCCCTGGGAGGGAAGTGGCTTAGGGGTCCTGGGTCACTCTGGGGTCCTTGTGTTGCAGACAGGTGAGGGTGTGAACGACGTGCGGAAGGGAGTATGCGCCAACCATGTCAGCACCATGGCCAACTTCCTGAAGGTGAGACTTACAGCACTGGGCTTTCTTGGTTCCCGGGCTGGGGTCAGTGTGTGCTCCTCACTTGTTGGGTGACTTCAGTGTTTCTTCAGTTGCTGGCAAGGAGACTTGGGACTGTGATTCTGGTCCTGCCACCACCTCTTGGGGCACACCTCCGTTTCTCCACCCAGGAGCCAAAAGGGAAAATTCCAGATTTGTTGGCATTTAGTGGCAGTGCTTGAGCTCAGGGGTCTGGATTCTCAAGAAGGGACTAGTGACTTCCTTTTTAGTATAAGTGGTTGTTTGCAGATGGCATTTGGCTTCGGTTCCCACTGCTAAGCAGGGAGGCCTTGGGTGCAGGTCACATGACTGCATGCAGAGGAAACCTGGGCCCCACATGAGCAGGACAAATACAGGGAGCATTGGAACCTAGCAAGCATGTACCTTGGTCTGCCACCCCCCTCTGTCCTGTATGCAGGGGGTCTATGCTAAGGGGACTGATGGGAGCATGGCTATCTCCTGTGCCCACGGAGCCCACCCTTCAAGTGCTGCTCCTGCCATAGGGAGCCCATGTGACCATCAATGCACGGGCCGAGGAGGACGTGGAGCCCGAGTCCATCATGCAGAAGGTAGCAAAGGCCTCTGGCGCTAACTACAGCTTCCACAAGGAGGGCAGCCGCTTCCAAGACACGGGGCCCCAGGCCCCTGTGGTGAGTGCTTCCTGACCATTGCTGACCCTCCCTGCCTGGGGTAGGTGGGGGCTGGGAGTGTACATTCCTCAGCATCCAGACTGTGTGACCCCGATGTTGATCCCGAGGCTTGGCCATAGGTCAAAGTGTAAGCCCCACAAGGAGGGTGCTGTGACAGGGTGGCTGCCCCAAGATCGTGGCACTGGCTGGGCTTGCAGCCCTGCCAGTAGCCACATGGAGGAACTTAAGGCACATGAAGACAGCCTGACCCCAGAACAGGCCTTGAGTCATGGGAGCCACCTGCAGGACTCAGGCCATAGAGTCAGCTGGAGATGCATCCTCAGAAGTGTAATTGGGGCCACACTGATAGCTGAGGAGCAGTGCTTGGCTGAAGGCCACTTCAGACCCACAGTTATAAGACCCAGGTGCCCTGAGGACTCCCCACCCCAAGGACTCTGGGTTGGGCTTCCCTGGAGGGCTGTTTCCTGGGCTTCATTCAGGCCTTCTTGGTGCCTGTCTTCTTGTTGGTCACTGGGCAAGGATTCACTGCTCCCTACAGGTCCAGCTTGTCCAGGCCCAGCTGTTCTTGTGAACACAGTGAGCCCCCTACTGGGCTGGGTCTGGGTTCTGGAGTGAGTGCTCTGCCCCCACAGGGCTCTGTGTATCAGAAGACTAATGCTGTCTCAGAGATCAAGAGAGTCGGCAAAGACAGCTTCTGGGCCAAAGCAGAGGTGAGCCAGAGACGGGGGACCTGGTACCTGCTGGGTGCGGTGGATATTCAGGGTTGCCCCTTGGAGGTGGCGCTGCCTCTCCACACCATGGGCAGAGGGGTGGGCTGAGTGGTACTGTTCATACAGAAGGAGGAAGAGAACCGCCGGCTGGAGGAGAGGCGGCGTGCAGAAGAGGAGCAGAGGCGGCTGGAACAAGAGCGCCAGGAGCGGGAGCTGCGAGAGGCTGCACAGCGAGAGCAGCGCTATCGGGAGCAGAGTGCCCGCAGGTGAGCACTGCCCTGTGTCATGGGCTGGCGCAGGGTCTAGGGTGGCCTGGGGTGAGCAGAAGACTCAGCTCTCCCTCCTGCTTTCCCACAGGCCAGAGCAGCAGCAGCAGGATGTGATTCCAGGGGGCCGCACAGAACAGGTGAGCATAGACACCCAGCAGGTGTCAGCCTGTTCACAGTGGTCACCTGACATAGGTGCTCTGGGTCTCAGGAGGGTCCTGTCCTGTGTGAGGCTGCCCCACTGCTGCTAAAGGCTGCATAATGGGGCTAGTTGGTCCCTACATCTGAGCACAAGGGGCATGAGTAGAGAGAAACCCTGGGTAATGAGGAAGATCCCTTACCTTCTCCACCTAGCTTGCCTTTTTTTTTTTTTAAGTTTATCTCTTTCATGAGAGAGAGAGAGAGAGAGAGAGAGAGGCAGCAGGCAGTGGGCCTTATATGCAATTCAGCCCCAGTCATCTGGGATTGGGCAAACATACACCTGGTGTGCAGAGGAAGCTCTTGGGACTCGAATCCAGGACCTTCCCATGGACCTCAGTATTGCAGGCTGTCACATTACTGCCACACAGCTGGCCCACATGTAGCACTGAGAGCCCGGGAGGCTGGTGGCTGGAGGGCCTGGGTCTGGGAGGCTGGGGAGGAGAGGGTTCCACTCACTGCTGGACCTGTGTGTCCCTAGGAGCCTGCTGGCCAGCGGGCTGTGCACCCAAGGGAAGTTTTCCAGCAGAAGGAGAGGGCCATGTCTACCACCTCTGTCCCCAGCCCACAACCAGGTGAGACTTCCCCTGGCCTGGCTATAAGGCAGGAGTGAGCAGGGGAGAGCCCAGGATCCTGTGCAGGGCCCCCAGAGGCTAATGACAGGTATATGAGAGCATGGCATGTGAGAGGAGGAGGGACATCTGGGGGAGGCCCAGGGCCCACTGTCCCCTCCTGCCCTTGCCCTTGTTGGTGACCACACTGGCTGCTACCCTGGCCCCCAAAAGGACATAGGACTGCACTTCTGCCCCTCCCCTATAGCTCATGGCCCTGGGGTCCTGCGTGTTGTGTGTGTCTATGTGTATGCACCAGGTGGCGTTCCTGACATACTGTCATGTGGGTTGCACTGGGATTTGCAGGCAAGCTGAGGAGTCCCTTCCTGCAGAAGCAACTCACACAGCCAGAGGCACCCAGCACCAGAGAGCCGGCTCCAACTCCCATCATCTCAGGGCCTAGAGCAGGCAAGGCTTGTACCCCAGGACCTGGCAGGTTGGTGGTTGGGGGTCAGAGTGGGAAGGAGCAGAGGCCGACCTTTTTACATCCTCCTGCAGATCTCTGTGAGGGGCCAGCATCCAGCGCCACTCCATATCTGGTCCAGGCAGAAGAAGAGACCGTGTATGAGGAGTCCCCAGAGCAGGAGGCTCTCTATGAGGAGCCCCCAGAGCAGGAGACCCTTTATGAGGAGGCTCCTCAGGTGGGTCTCCACAAGTGGGAGGGCAGAACTGCGAAGACTCAGGTAGTTCATGACCCTTGCCCACCTGGGAACTGGTTGG